CTCCTCATTGGAAGATTTTAGCATCCAATGGTTATCTATGTTTGAATCTATTATTATCAAAATATTACCCAAAATTTTGTAAAAAAAAAAATTTTTTTTAAAAGAGACAGAGTTTCACTCTGTTGCCCAGTCTGGAGTGCAGTGGTGGAATCTCGGCTCACTGCAACCTCCAACTCCTGGGTTCAAGTCATTCTCCTGCCTCAGCCTCCCAAGTAGCCAGGATTACCGTCATGTGCCACTACATCCAGCTAATTTTTGTATTTTTAGTAGAGATGGGGTTTTACCATGTTGGCCATGTTGGTCTTGAACTCCTGACCTTAGGTGATCCATCTGCCTCAGCCTCCCAAAGTGTTGGGATTACAGTTGTGAGCTACCACACCTCACCCCAAAATATTATAAGTTCTTATTCATTAGCTATTACTCCACAATTAAAAAAAAAACACAACTTTCCTTTTTCCTTTGAGTATCATTGTGGCCTCATAAATTAAAAATATTGTAAAGTTAATTTATCTTTTAATTTAAAAAATTGTTTTAATTTTAATTTTTTTCTCTTGAGACAGGGTCTCACTCTGTTTCCCAGGCTGGAGTTTAGGGTGGTGTGACCTTGGCTTACTGCGTCCTCTGCCTCCTACGTCAGCCTCCCTAGTAGCTGGGACTGCAAGTGTGCACCACGACACCCAACTAAGTTTTATACTTTTTGGTAGAGATGGGGTTTCACCGTGTTGGCTGGGCTGGAAAAATTGCTTTTAAATTTAAGTTTTTTGATTTGGTTTTGTTTTTTTACAGAGTCTTACTGTGTTGCCTAGGCTGGAGTGCAGTGGCGTGATCTTGGTTCAGTGCACCCTTTGCCTCCTGGGCTCAGGTGATCCTCCCACCTCAGCTTCCTGAGTTGCTGGGACTACAGGCATTCACCACCATGCTTGGTTAATTTTTTTTTTTTTTTTTGTATTTTTTGTAGAGATGGGTTGCCATTTTGCCCAGGCTGATCTTCAACTCCAGATTCAAGCCATCCTCCTGCCTTGGCTTCCCAAAGTGGTGGGATTACCCGCCTGAACCATGACGTTTGGCCTGTTTTTAAATTTACCTTTTATCTATGGCTATGACCAGTTATTATGCATTTAAAATACTATTGGGTTCAGTTAGTTCATGCTTTATTTAAAATTGTTACATGAATAATTAGCTTATATTTCACATATTGCTTTATCTGATTGTATAAAGACTATACTGGTCTCATTAAGAGAGTTTGGAAATGTTATCTTGTTTCTATTTTCTGGAACAAGTTGTATAAGAAGATGATTCAGTGCTAGAAAGGTCTGACATTTACATGTAAAGACATTTAGGCATGGATTTATATTGAGAGGAGGAAGTATGTGACTGTTATTTTGTTTCTTATTATTTTATTCAAGTTTTCTATTTCTTTTTATGCTACTTGTTTCATTTTACATTTTTCCAGAATTTTGTGTATTCCTTCCAAGTTTTCAAAGTTATCACCATATTTTTCCTCTGCTGTGTCAGTATTTTCCCTTTTTAGATTCCATATTTTCCCTTTTTAGATTCCATATTTTATTTATTTGACTTTCCTCTTGTTTACCTGCTCAGTCTTATTAGAGATTTATTCATCTTATTAATCTTTCCAAAGTACAATGTCCAGGAAGGGTTCTTCAGGAAGCTGGCTTTAAGACAGAGTATGGAGCAGAGTCCCCAAACCACAGGCAACGATATGGGTCCCGAAGTCCGCTTTGCTGGCTGACTGGCTGCTCGCTTCCTGCTGTGCAGCCCTGTTAGGAAGTGGGCATACAACAGAAAGTGGGCAGCGGGCAAGCGAGCAAAGCTTCATCTGTATTTACAACCACTCTCCATCGCTTACGCTACCACCTGAACTCCATCTCCTGTCAGATCAGTGGTGGCATTGGATTCTCATAGGAGCTCGAACTGTATTATAAATTGCACACACCAGGGATCTTGGTGCGCACTCATGATTATGAGAATCTAATGCTTGGTGATCAGTCATTGTCTCCCATTACCCCCAATGGGACTGTCTGGTTGTAGGAAAACATGCTCAGGGCTCCCACTGATTCTTCGTTATGGTGAGTTGTAAAATTATTTCATACAATGTAATAATAATGGAAATAAAATGCACAATAAGTGTAATGCACTTGAATTATCTAGAAACCAGCCCCACCATCTATGGAAAAATCACCTTGCATGAAACCAGCACTGGTTCCTGGTACCAAAAAGGTTGGGAACCGCTGCTGTGGAGTACAGGTGGTTAGGGAGTGCCTTTGGGATTGACACTTGGAGGGAAGAAGACAAGGTTAGGGAGAGGGAGAAGTCAGTTTGCAATGCAAGCCGAAATCAAAGCCTTGGCCAGCTACTAGGAAAGTTCTGGGTCTATAACATAAGAGTTGACTCATCTCTGGGCAAATGGCCATGCCGTATACCCTAGCCTGGTCAGTCACTGGTTGTAGAAAAGGCCATGACCTTGGGCAAGGGCGCTCTTGTAAATGCGGGGATGTCTCAGGGGCCCATAGCTGGAAGCTATCTCCTGACGACACTTGGGTCCAAGTCCATGAAGACCAGTTTCTGGTTTTGATCATTCTTTGCCTTGCTCTTTTGTCTTCTATCTCCTTCATTTCTGTCATTGTTTTCCTTCCTCTTTGGTTCATTGAATTTATTCAGTTGTTCTTTTCCTAGTGTTTTGGCCTGTTAGATTAGTTTTTCATATTCTCTGATCAATATTTTTTTTTTTTTTTTTTTCGGAGTTTCGCTCTCGTTACCCAGGCTGGAGTGCAATGGCGCGATCTCGGCTTACCGCAACCTCCGCCTCCTGGGTTCAGGCAATTCTCCTGCCTCAGCCTCCTGAGTAGCTGGGATTACAGGCACGCACCACCATGCCCAGCTAATTTTTTGTATTTTTAGTAGAGACGGGGTTTCACCATGTTGACCAGGATGGTCTCGATCTCTTGACCTCGTGATCCGCCCGCCTCAGCCTCCCAAAGTGCTGGGATTGCAGGCTTGAGCCACCGCGCCCGGCTTTTTTTTTTTTTTTTGAGACGGAGTTTCGCTCTTGTTACCCAGGCTGGAGTGCAATGGCGCAATCTCGGCTCACCTCAACCTCCGCCTCCTGGGTTCAGGCAATTCTCCTGCTTCAGCCTCCTGAGTAGCTGGGATTACAGGCACACGCCACCATGCCCAGCTAATTATTTTTTGTATTTTTAGTAGAGACGGGGTTTCACCATGTTGACCAGGATGGTCTCGATCTCTTGACCTTGTGATCCACCCGCCTTGGCCTCCCAAAGTGCTGGGATTACAGGCTTGAGCCACCGCGCCCGGCCTTGATCAATATTTTTAAAGCTAGAAGTTTCTTCGTAAGAACTACTTTAACAGAAGTTTCTTCATAAGAAGCACCGCACTCGGCCAGCTCTTGCATTTCTTTCATAATTTTATCTTGGGTTTGGGTTTGGCAGATTGGAAATAGCAAGGCATCTGCCAGATAGGAGGAGTCCTGAACAAGGAGTTCCTAGGTTCTTCCCTCTCTTCTGTCAGACAAAACAGGTAAATGCCCAAAATAAACTTAGGCTACCACAAAACACAGTAACTCTGCTCCTCAGCAAGCCAGCAGGATTCCCACCAGCTCCAGGATCACCCAAAGGTGAAAAAAAGACAGTATAGACTGTCATTCCTCTGTCTGAATGATGGTCTCTAAACCACTTTGCTCTTCTTTTCTGTTAAAGTATGTCTAATCCAGCCGGGTGCGGTGGCTCAAGCCTGTAATCCCAGCACTTTGGGAGGCCGAGGCGGGTGGATCACGAGGTCGAGAGATCGAGACCATCCTGGTCAACATGGTGAAACCCCGTCTCTACTAAAACTGCAAAAAATTAGCTGGGCATGGTGGCACGTGCCTGTAATCCCAGCTACTCAGGAGGCTGAGGCAGGAGAATTGCCTGACCCCAGGAGGCGGAGGTTGCGGTGAGCTGAGATCACGCCATTGCACTCCAGCCTGGGTAACAAGAGCGAAACTCCGTCTCAAAAAAAAAAAAAAAAAAAAAAGTATGTCTAATCCTCCCACAAAATAAATAGCTTCAGTTTTTGTACTCTTTCCGAAGATTTCTGTTTCATACCTATGTTGTTTTTAAACCCAGCTGCCTATAAGTTATCCTCGTAGTTCTCAGCTCTGCAGAAAGGAAAGAAGGGCAGATAAGGAAGGTGTTACGGTCCAAGTAAGCACTTAGGCTCATCCGTTACACTTCACTGCTCACATTTAGAACTCTGCAAGCTTGAGAATATGTGTGCTTGTGACCTGCAGTATATTCTGTGGAATTAAAACAAGGCAGTCTTGAATTCAGCCTATTGATGGCTAATGGCACAGTTGTCCAATAGGCAGACTGTTTAGAGTGAGCCCAAACTTACAGGGACAATAGAATAGGAATTTCCACATCGTATGTCACATGGAAGCTATGCCAGTGGAGTGCTTAGTTGGGCTCTCAGGACAGAATCGAGTTAGAGCAAAGTAGTATAACATTTGTCTTCTGAAAGTATCAGTAATCAATGGTCTTCTAGTATAAACATGTCTTGCCTAAAGACCGGCTTGAAGACCAACACAGGATTGAAAAACATGATATCATTAGTCTTTGAAATAAATAATGGTCTAATTTAGTAACCCAGTGAAAACCAATTCTGGCTATACTGTATTTATTGTCTAGTATTTCTGCCTGCCATTCTTTCTTCATTAAAAGTTAAGTTTGGGGCCGGGCGTGGTGGCCCATGCCTGTAATCCCTGCACTCACTTTGGGAGGCCAAGGTGGGTAGATTGCTTGAGGTCAGGGGTTTGAGACCAGCCTGGCCAACATGGTGAAACCCCATCTCTTAAAAAAAAGGTACATTTATTCCATTTCTTTTCCTATTGTAGTGCCACAAAACACCCTAACTCTCTTGACCACAAACTCAGTGTGTATAGCTCAAAGCTGCTCTTAAATACACCATTTCAAATTTGCTTCTAGGTACTAGAGAAGGTGGGATGTACTTTCAGACCATGTACCCTATTATGAAGGAATGGAAGAGGAGACAATTTGAATGAATCGTCCTGATCTACAAAACAGTCATAGTGACTAGGACTCCCCAGTGAAGATGGTTGACTGGTGACACAGCCCCATCTAGAGAGCCCCTTTCTGTATGCTTGAAAACCCATTAAAATAAAGTCACTGCAGTTGGCCTTATATTTGTTCATTCAGTGTGTGTTAAGGATCCATCAAGAAATCAGACTGTCTCTGGTGTTACAAACTGACTGTGGTTGGGGCCACAGACAAATGAGAAGCACTGCGGAGAGGACAGATAAGGGAGAGGTGCCTGACTCAAGCAAGGAAGGCACAAGAATAAATGGGTCCATCTGGACTTAACCCTAGAGGCCAGGGTGAGAACAAAAATGGTCTACATCTGTTCATGGTTTCTATGTGCCAGGGGCTGAGTTAGAAGTTGGTTGGACTCTGCTGGAAAAAAAAAAAATAGACCTGTCCCCTGCCCTTATATAATGTAAAGTATGGTAAAGAAGACTGGTACTGGGCCGGGCGCGGTGGCTCAAGGCTGTAATCCCAGCACTTTGGGAGGCGGAGGCAGGTGGATCACGAGGTCAAGAGATCGAGACCATCCTGGTCAACATGGTGAAACCCCGTCTCTACTAAAAATACAAAAAATCAGCTGGGCATGGTGGTGCGTGCCTGTAATCCCAGCTACTCAGGAGGCTGAGGCAGGAGAATCACTTGAACCTGGGAGGTGGAGGTTGCAGTGAGTGAAGATTGCACCATGCACTCCAGCCTGGGCAACAGAGCAAAAAAAAAAAAAAAAAAAGAGAGAAATGAATGTGTTCATTTAAGTTCATTTCAGCAACTCTAAAAGACTAGAACCTGATATATAGTGGTAGTGGAAGAGTTAGAAATATCATAATTTTTATGTGTGTGCTGATTTTTAAATTATTTCTGAGACCTAAACCATTTTGAAAATCTGATGAACTTTATCCTCTTGCCAAAAAAATGCAAATACATACTCTTGAATAAAATTTCAGGGGTCCATAGAGCTTTTAAAGAACTGCCATGTATGCATGATGATGAAATTTGGCCACAAATACTGCAGGGTTCAGTGATTACAAGGAGTGAACTTACTTGACTTATATCCAATAGATAGACTAGTGGAAGATTTTTAAAAAATCGCTTAGGAGGTTATGTCAGAAATCCAAGTGAGGAATAATTTAGGGACTAAACTAAGACAGTAGTAGAGGAGATAAAAATACGATAAACGGCCGGGCGCGGTGGCTCAAGCCTGTAATCCCAGCACTTTGGGAGGCCGAGGCGGGTGGATCACAAGGTCGAGAGATCAAGACCAACCTGGTCAACATGGTGAAACCCCGTCTCTACTAAAAATACAAAAAAAAAATTAGCTGGGCATGGTGGCGCGTGCCTGTAATCCCAGCTACTCAGGAGGCTGAGGCAGGAGAATTGCCTGAACCCAGGAGGCGGAGGTTGCGGTGAGCCGAGATCGCGCCATTGCACTCCAGCCTGGGTAACAAGAGCGAAACTCCGTCTCAAAAAAAAAAAAAAAGGCCGGGCGCGGTGGCTCAAGCCTGTAATCCCAGCACTTTGGGAGGCCGAGGTGGGTGGATCACAAGGTCAAGAGATCGAGACCATCCTGGTCAACATGGTGAAACCCCGTCTCTACTAAAAATACAAAAAATTAGCTGGACATGGTGGCACGTGCCTGTAATCCCAGCTACTCAGGAGGCTGAGGCAGGAGAATTGCCTGAACCCAGGAGGCGGAGGTTGCGGTGAGCCGATATCGCGCCATTGCACTCCAGCCTGGGTAACAAGAGCGAAACTCCGTCTCAAAAAAAAAAAAAAAAAAAAAAAAAAAAATACGATAAACGAGAACTTGAGAAGATTAAAAAATTCATTGGACTTCTGAAATATGGTTATGTAGTTGAAGGTGAATATGGCCTTATTCTAGGCTTCTCTGGCTTAAGTGATGTAGGTAGTTGGCGTTACTACTCAGGAGATAGGAAATAGAGGCAGAAAGTCAGATTTGGTGAGAAAATCAGTGGTTTAAGATCAGATCTACTTGATGTAATTTGGTCTGGGACTTGAGAAAAATTCTGATAGAGAACCTTCTGCAAGACCCCAGCAAGTACTGGTGGCTAACACCTTTGTAATGGATGAGTTTGCTTAGAGGGAACATACAGAGAAAAGATTTTATTTGAAGACAAAAGTCTTAAAGGTCCTTGTATATTAGCTGGGCACAGTGGCTCATGCCTGTAATCCTAGCACTTTGGGAGGCTGAGGTGGGCAGTACACAAGGTCAGGAGTTGGAGACCAGCCTGGCCAACATTGTCAAATCCTGTCTCTACTAAAAATACAAAAATTAGCTGGGCATGGTGGCGCACGCCTGCAATCCCAAGTACTTGGGAGGCTGAGGAAGGAGAATCATTTGAACCTAGGAGGCGGAGGTTGCAGTGAGCCGAGATTGCGCCACTGTACTCCAGCCTGGGGAACAACAGAGTGAGACTAAAAAAGAAAAAAAAAAAAAAATCCTTGTATTTTAGAAGCAGGTGAGCATAGGAGACTGAAAATTATCACTTAGAAATAAGAAGTTGGAATTATGGTCCATTGAAAATAGGTTTGCCGGCCGGGCGCGGTGGCTCATGCCTGTAATCCCAGCACTTTGGGAGGCCGAGGCGGGTGGATCACAAGGTCAAGAGATCGAGACCATCCTGGCCAACATGGTGAAACCCCGTCTCTACTAAAAATACAAAAAATTAGCTGGGCGTGGTGGCGCGTGCCTGTAATCCCAGCTACTCGGGAGGCTGAGGCAGGAGAATTGCCTGAACCCAGGAGGCGGAGGTTGCGGTGAGCCGAGATCGAACCACTGCCCTCCAGCCTGGGTAACAAGAGCGAAACTCCGTCTCAAAAAAAGAAAAAAAAAAAAAAAAAACAGGTTTGCCTTAATCTACTCAAGTAACTACAACAAAGTACTGTAATCTTGGTGGCTTATAAACAAGAGAAATTTATTTCTCATAGTTCCAGAGGCTGGAATTTGGAGGTCAAGGCCCTAGGATGGGGTCAGGCCACTTTTCTAGGTTGCAGACAGCAAACTTCTTTTATTTTCACATAGTGGAAGCAGAGTGAACTAGTGCTAATCCCAATCATGAGGGCTTCATTCACCCTCATGACCCAATTATCCCCCAAGGCCCCACCTCCAGATTGAGGATTAGATCTGGAGGGCTTCCATCACATTGGGGATTAGCTTTCAGCATACGAACTTTGGAGGGACACAAACTTTCAGGCCATATAGGTTGTTGAAGATGTAGAAAAGGGCATCATTTATAGGGTAGTGTGGAATGAGCTGCCTGAGTGAAGACTAACAGAGAGATTCCTTTCCTTGTTACACTGACCCCTTCCTTCCCCCTCCTCCACTCTCAGGTGAAGCTACACTGCTCAGAGCTCTCAAGAGGGTTTCTTTATTTACCTGCCACTTTCAAGAAAAAGGCCTTCGTGAAATAACCTCTTTAATTCTACTCTTTTTTTGAGATGGAGTCTCACTCTGTCACCCAGGCTGGAGTGCAGTGGTAAGATCCCGACTCACTGCAACCTCTGCCTCCCAGGTTCAAGCACTTCTCTGCCTCAGCCTTCTGAATAGCTGGGATTACAGGCTCTCACCATCATGCCTGGCTAATTTTTGTATTTTTAGTAGAGACGGGATTTCACTATCTTGGTCAGGCTGGTCTTGAACTCCTGACCTCGTGATTCACCCCACCCCCACCCCTCCCCACTCAGCCTCCCAAAGTGCTGGGATTAGAGGCGTGAGCCAACGCACCTAGCCAACTCTACTCTTCTTTAGCAAAATTTTTAGCAAAATTGTCTCATAGGCCCCTGAGGTTGATGAAAAACCTCCAAGCAGATAAGCAAGAAACAGAATTGGTATAAACAGCCATGAGCATTCCCTGATTGGTAAACCTTCAATTAAATAAACTCTGGTCTGTTTGACCACAGTTGGTTCCAGTGAAGGCTATGTCTTTGTCCTCACATACTCCTCTTCACAATCTTCCACTGTGCAGAGACCAGAGGAGAAAAGCAGTGATCTCTGTAGGATTCTGAACTTCAGGATCCAACAGAAAGTGTTGCTACTTTGAGGGTTGGTTTAAAGTCTCCAGAAGAGAAAATGATTCAGAATGCTTGATTTTTTTCCACATGCCATTAAAAAAAGATGTAACTCTGTGCTTTTTGGCTCTGAAGCAAAAATAAATCAGCAGTCCCTCAAATTAAATTTTCTTGCGCATAGTGTTAGATGAGGGGGCAAACAGAAGTTTCCTTCTGTGCTGCTTCATTTCCTTTATTCTTAGAAGAGAGATGAACTTAGGAGCTGTCTCCTCCAAAGTGACACAGGGCCTCATGACAATAAAGCTGAATTTCTAGAAGTAAGGAACATGTTACAAGAGAAAAAAAAATCTAAAAATTTACGTTTACTCATTTTCTGGCACCATCTGATCGAGTAAAGTTTAAGCTATTTCTCAGTGGCCAAGAAACAGGCCCTTTTAAGTTGGGCAGCTACACTTTATTTAGTTTTATGTAAGATATAAGACATAATGTGGCTGGGCGTGGTGGCTCACACCTGTAATCCCAGCACTTTGGGAGGTCGAGACAGGCAGATCATGAGGTCAGAAGTTCGACCAGCCTGCCAACATGGTGAAACTCCATCTTTACTAAAAATGCAAAAATTAGCCAGGCCTGGTGGTATGTGCCTGTAATCCCAGCTACTCAGGAGACTGAGGTAGGAGAATCGCTTGACCCTGGGAGGTGGAGGTTGCAGTGAGCTGAGATCGTGCCATCACATTCCAGCCTGAGCGACACAGCCAGACACTGTCTCATAAAACAAAAAAAGGGCCGGCCGTGGTGTCTCACGCCTGTAATCTCAGCACTTTGGGAGGCCGAGGCAGGCAGATCACCTAAGGTCCGGAGTTCAAGACCAGCTTGGCCAACATGGTGAAACCCTGCCTTTAAAAAAAAAAAAGAAAGAAAGAAATATTTAATTTAAAAAAAGACATAATGTTTAACTGTCTTACAAATAAACAGGGTATATGTCTCTAACATAAGGCAAGATTGGAATTAAGGAAAATTTCTCGGGCCGGACACGGTGGCTCAAGCCTGTAATCCCAGCACTTTGGGAGGCCGA